TCATGAGCGATTCATTAAAACCAACACAGTTTCATATTATTTACTTAGCTCAAGGAACATTCACTTTGCAAAGTCAACAGTCTTTATTCATTTAGTAAATGAAAGCAATAACCTCAGCAAATGGAAAAAATGTGGATGCAATATCATGCTTACAACAATCTCTATTAACAGTGATAGCACATCAGTTCATCAAAGCTAAACTCCAGGATAAACAAATATGGTCCAAATACAAGTCATGTGTATTCTTTCTTGAATCGTGTTATGCTCTGTATATTTGTGTATCATTTTTTCAGGCGGACCCAATCAGATGACCAATGTAAGTCTATGGGCAGCCGTGTGTAACCCGACAGGCGTCCGTTTACACCTGGTTACCCCCGACTCCAGCCAGGTCCAATAAAACAAACGAATCAGAGATCCATTTCGCCAGACCAGGGGTAATCTGATGTAAATGGACACATATCCATTTACATCCGATTCTCCATAGACAAACATGTGGTCCTTCAATTGCAGTTTCGCCTTCATCGCAAGATGGAGGGGAAAAAAACTGCATGGACACGGATGTCACAGTGGTGACATCCGCTCCATACTGCTCTGATGAGGAGGGGATCCATGCATGGATCTTCTCATGATCAGCATGTGTGAAAAGGGCCTTAGTATAAACTCTCTTCTTGGAGGGGGTCAATCTGGTTTTCATTTTTACCCTAGCAATGTCATGGAATGACAGCGATGCGAGATTATCATTTACCCAAACATACAGGTCTGATTTTTCCAACAAATGTGCACACATTATGATAGAGCAAATATCTAGCCAACTGATGTCCGTTATGAACCTTGAGGATGCCCCTTCACCATCTACAATGCAGGCAAATATCCTTTATGAAAACTCTGGAATCAAAGGTCGTTGACTTCACCCACAATTACTGCTGTTCAAATCTAATGCTTTAACATGACCATTCACACAGCACTGCTCTGAGAGTCTAAAAGTAGAATCTTCGGTCAAGCAGGGCTAAATGTACAGTGGGGAGCCGCTGCAGATTTTATGCAAATGATCTGATCAGATCACTTGTACCAGCTTGTCTGTCCCCCCTCACTGGCGTGGTTTTTGTGGTCCCCCGATCTTCGGGGGGGGGACCTGGGACCACTGCATATGAGCTCAGCATGGCGACTAAGGAGCAGAGCAAAGAACGTCCGTTTTTCCGCTCTGCTCTCGGTGATCAGCGAGACCGAATCGCTGTAATCACAGCATCACCTGTCACAGCTGTCACAAACTGCACAGATTATCTGTTCTGTGTTGAAGAGCAGACTCCATAAAGAGAACCTGTCACCTTTTAAACTGTCATGTAGGGGCTTTTAAGCCCCTATGTGATGGGAATAAAGCTAGGTGAAAAAATAAAAAAATAAAATAAAATATATCAAATTAAAAAAATAAGAAAGAAAAAATAAAACCAACTCGGCTGCCCCCGCCATCTGCATGCAAATAAACGCACACGTAGGACATTGTATGTGTGCGTTGAGTGCTGCCTCCATTCCACTGTGTGCCATATTGTGGAAGCCAGGCAGCAGAACTCTTCAATGCACAATGTACATCAAAGGGTAAGTTCACTTTCTCAGGTCATTTTGGAAAATGGAATTACCGACTGAATCTGGCCCCCTCTCCCCTCCACCTCGCTATACTTGCCTTTTGGCAAACAGTCCTTTCCCTCCGCAAGTACAGGGGTACGATCTGTACCCTGTACTGCGCTATACATTTTGAATTTCACTGACAAATTGCAAGCACTCGTTGGTCAGTGTGGTCAGATGACCATGCTGACCAATGAGAAGCACTTCTTAGCACAGTGAATTAAAACAATTTTTTTGTACCGGGACAAGTAGATTGCCATGAGGGACAAGTAGCCTGGGCCCCCGCTTTAGCCCATGGACAAGTATTTTTTTTTTTTTTTATTCCCACACCCCTGCATCTTTCCCCTTTCTCTGCAGCGGTCTAAGGTCCCATAAATCAATAAAGTCTCTACACAGTGTACAGACGTGAGGACACCGAGGAATATTCTACTGCTGCTGTGAAAGAGGAGGAGAGAGGCAGGAAGGAGCACCGACACCTGGCCAGCTCAGAGCTTTGGGCGAGTATAACTTATTTTTCTCCCTAGACACAAACAAGCACTTAACCCTTACAGTACAGGGGTAGCCCCAATGCAAGGGTTTATAAAAAGTTTTACGGGAGTTTTTCTTTAATATAGCTGTTGAATTCATTACAGCCATGTTGCTATCTAGTCATGTTAAATTATTACTTTGGTGAAGCAAACATCCTTCATATGTGTAAAATGCATGAAGTGCCATCAGTGTGACAGTGGCACAGTAATATTGTAATATTCTCACCACCTAGAGCCCTACTAAAAATCATTTACACTTAAGTTTCAGGTAAGTAGGACACCTAAACCACACCTAGCACTTAAAGGACATTCAACAAGAAGAGCTTGTTTAAAATGCATAAAATAATTTGACATTTTTACATGTATGCTGCTTGTCTTAATAATGTACCTCATATTGACAGATAAAGACTTTGCCTGAACCATACCACCTCTGCTCGGGTATTGGTATAGCATTAGTGAAGAATAATCAGGCCTACCTTATTCAGCTTCGGGAAGCTCCGTTTGTCATCAAAGCAATCAAAAGCGGCAAAAACCACTCAGCAAATTTACATTTGCCAATATAAAAGCATTCCAATTAGAAATCCTAAAAGCGGCACACTACTTTGTATGAGACCATCACCGAGTATCCTGATAAACCATACAGCAGCTTAGCCCAATCCTGACAAAACCAGGAACTCACCTCTCAATGTCATCTTCTCCAGGCAATAAGGGTGGCAGGGGTAAATTAGGAAGTGTTGAAGTTTTCATATGAGGGATAGCAAGACTGACAGCTGGAACTGGCTTAGTGGAAGAGATAGTTGGAGGCTGTGTGTTTGCCTGAGTGGATACTGTTGAACGTGTAAGGGTGGAGGAGGTTACTGAGGCAGCCACGGTGATAGAAATAGAAAGGGTTGTCAAAGCAGGAGGAGGTGGGAGAGGAGGTGGAGGTTGTACAGGTACAGCTGGTGAAGGAGGAAGAGGTGGAAGTGGAGGAGTCTGGGGAGGTGGAGAGGAAGCAGGTAAAGGTGGTGGTGGAGACTGCACAGGAGGAGGCGGCAGTGGGATCTCTTTTTCTTTCTCTTTGTCTGTCACTCCCTCCTTTGGTGTCAAACTTTCTTCTTTGACCGGAGCAGCTCTACCATCTTTTACTCCCGATTGCTTCACATCCTTCACTGGTAGCTTCTTCTCATTTTCCTCGGACTTGGTGGAAATAGATAATACCTTTGCATCTACATTTGCTGCTATTGACAGCTCTGTATCAGACACAGATTTGTCCACTTTAAGATTTTTGTTTGCCTTTTTGGTATCCGACGTTTGGAGTCCTCTTCCATCTCCAATCTCTTTTTTTACCAACGGACCTCCTTTAGGGTCTCTACCAGCTGCTGCAGCAGCTAACGCCCGCTCTTTTTTCTTTCGGCTCAATTCAGCGCCCAAGCTGGAGTTCAATGGCAAGCGGGCAGGTGAAATACTGGAATGGCGACTTTGGGACTGAGACTTTTGTTTCTTACTACGAGATGAGGAGGATTTTCTTGAATAGATGGGACTACGGCTTCGGGATTTGGCAGACTTCCTACATAAACAGAGAACATTATTATAACACAACAGTACAGAAAAGAAATAAATACAAGTACCGGTAGTAAAAAAGGGAGTTTAAGTTTCCCCCTGATGTTTCAGCCTCATACACAGATTACAAGTGTAAAATGATCACAAGTAATTTGTACATGGAGCTGCACAAGGTTGAACAGGTTAGGAAGGGAGATGGATTTATCTATTCAGGTCAGGTCTCTTTTAGGGTTCTATAGCCCCTGCAGAACATAACTCTGGGAAGATGGCACTGATCCATCACGGCACACATGCACAACAGTATCTTTGTGAACATACAAAAGTATACATGGTTGCCTTTTAAGAACAAAAAAATGGCACCTCTACTGCGCCAAAAAGCCCCCTTACTGTGCGCATGTGTGGTAGCGGCTTTTCGAAAGTAGTGTTACTACTGCGTATGTTGTCTGTGCCATTTTGGATGTTCTCAAACACACTAATGTAAATGCTAGATACAGACAGGTTATAAGGTAGTCACAGTTTGTAGTAGGTCTTCAGTGGCTCCCCAATCGTAAGATATAAATGTAGCAGACCCTGTGTGGAATCCTGGAACACATTGATCAATTTTGGCGCACACAAATGCAACGTAAAATGTGTTTCTATTTCACTGCTCCTGAACAGGAGCAGTGAGATAGAAAATCCAACAGAGTTACCACAAGGTTATGGCTGAAGTCAAATATCTCCCTCAGCTGCTCAAAAGTAGCACGTATGATAGAAAGAAACCCAACACTAACCACATAACCCTTTCTCTGTCGCCAACTTCTACCATACGTCAGCAGCAGCAGACTCCCAGGTTGTTATTGAAGCTAGGGGTTTGTTTACATGTGGACAGCTGTCGGCATTACAATGGTAGTGATTCGGGAAGCTTCACTGCACCTGGTTATTTATGGTTAACTCTAAATAGATAAAACAGAAGTCACCAACTTGCGCAACTAGATCGATTGTTTCTGGACTGTGTATTAATAGTCTTAAAGGAGCTCCAGTTATACTGGTAGTTAATCCAGAGAAGGTGTATGCACTGATCCAGTTAGTTGGATGGGGATCCATGTAACAGCACTGTGAAGAAAGCAAAGACCCGGCGCATGGATCTAAGTGCAGTATAAAAGTAACTGTTTAATAAATCCCCCCCCCCCTTAGGAGAACCAGATACAGCACTGCTCAGCCATTGGATCAGATCTTTGTCTTCCAGCACAGGTGATCTGGAATCTTTCTGGATTGGACTCTGCTCTCTCCACTTGCCTTCCATTCTGAGAACAATCTTGGATCAGCAGTGAGATCGGACTTCCATTTATTGTGCGACAGGCGAGATGTTTTTAGATATCCTGCAAGTGCATTACTTTTAACCTACTAAACAGTTACTTTTATACTGCACTTAGATCTGTATGCCAAGTTTTTATTTTTTCTTTACAACTCTAAAAGGATGACCTGTAAAAGCCTTTAAGGCGTAACCTATAGGCAAATTTGGGTTCCTAAGTTTTTGGCCATTTCACGGGTGCACACAATTTTGAAGTTTGACATGTTTGGTATCTATCTACTTTTATAGTTTACAAAACAATTGGGTAAAATGTTGCGTTTATATGCACCTAAATTAACGTAAATGTATTTTTTTCTGCAAATTTGGGTTTAACAGCTGCCCTAATATGCGACATAAAATATTGTAAGCAAGACATATAAAATATTGTAACTGACACCATTTTGTTCTACAGGGCCTCTGCCTTTTAACTTGCGAGTGAAAAACGGCCCTGGCAGCAAAAGTGTTATAGTGTACAGTAGGTTACCCCAACAATGAATATCTGTATGTGTTTTCATCTAGTCCTATAGGTAAATCTAACCTGTTTTTTCCAATCACTTCCATAGAAATGCCTAGTGATCCTGCCATTTACCCCTTCTTACCTCTTTCTATCTGATCACACCAAACACTGAAGCAGATCCATGCTGGCATAGTCACTTTACATATCCGGGCTTACTGCTTTGATTTGTCTGTCTCTGTCGTTTGTATCTCCTGTAGTCAAGTGTAGCCACCACATCCCTGTCCAGGCCTCCACATTTTGAGTGAAAATAGCGCCTGCACATCCAGGTCTACAGCCCACCACACCAACAAGCACTTTTGCACTTGCCAACACCACACCAATGTGCACTCCTGCACTTGCATTCACCAACAGCCCAACAACGCGCACTTCTGCCATCACTGACACTGAACTAACAAACACTTTTGCGCTTGCCTAATCCACACTGATGGCCACTTCTGAGCTCATCGACACAGCACAGATGCACATGTCTGGAAATCCAAAATGTTAAAGTTGTCCCCAAAAGAGGTAATAAGCAATCTTCCAAAGGGGATCCCTGTTTTGGGGACAACTGTTTAAGAGGGGAATTCCCCTCATTCCATTCTCTCTAACTTCGCAGTCACCTGAATCACTTCTACAAGAAAGTTGGCAGCCTGCAGACAAAAGGGGAAAACAAACTATGGGCTGCTATAAAGGACAAAAATGACTTAACATGCCAGCGCTGCTGCCAACATAATAGTTACGTCGAAGGCAGTGAAAGAGCGATGTTACTTTTTTTTTTTTTTTTACTTAGTTGGATTTGTGGCTGAAGGCAAGTATAGGACTAGGTAGGCAGAACTTAGGGGTTAAGAGCAACTAATTAAAAAGGAAAAAAAATCAAAAAAATCAAAGTATAGTTGTACTTTAACTACTTCAAGACCAGGTGTTTAGACCCCCTTCCTGGCCAGGCCATTTTTCAGTATTCAGCGCTGCGATACTTTGACGTTTATTCCGTCAAGCAGCGCTGTACTGAAATGAATTTTATACCATTTTTTGGGGACAGATAGAGCTTTTTTTTGGTGGTATTTAATCACCACTGCGGGTTTTATTTTTTACTATATTAAGGAAAAATTATTGAACATTTTGGGGAAAAAGTTTTTTCCCCCCATTAGATTAGGAAACAATGATTATCACCCATATTTTTGGTAAAATATAAAAGACAGGGTCACGTCAGGTAAATAGACATTGTCATGCTTTAAAATTGCGCACACCCGCGAAATCGCAAAAAACTACCATACCCAAAATTGACCATAGGCGACGCTTTAAAAGCTTTTACAGCTCATCAGTTTAGTGTTATTGGTGATTGATAGCCCTAGAAGTATTGCTCTCATTCCGACGTTCGCGACGATATGTAACATGTGCCCGTTTGCTGTATGTATGGGGGGGGACTTAAAAAAAAAACATTTTAATTATTTTTAATTTGTTACTTTACATTTGGGGGGTGACACAAGAATGTGGAAGTCTGCTTGTTTTCAAATGTCGGCATTTCCCGCTCGTGCGTGCGCGAGATCTACAGAGCTCCTGGCCGGCCGTTTTTTTTTACAACGGCTGGCCGGGAAGTGGTTAACAGCTTGCCGCTCGCCCGTTGTAAAAAAAACCACACGGACAGCAAGCTCCCATTGGCGGTCGCTGTAAATAAAACGGCTTTTTTTTTCTGTTACAAATAAAAGCAATCGGCGGCTTCTGATGGCTTGTATGTGCTGCCCTGCCACGCCATCACCACCAACCGCTGCCGTCCCCCCTCCTGGGCTTCGCTGCCCCCTCTGCGGCCCGGGACCAACTAGGGTGGGTGTCAGGAGAAAGATCAGCATCTTCCTCCTTGCTGATCTCCCTCCGACATCTGAATGCAGAAGTGATGTGTCCATCTACGCTACGCTAGAGGCGCCGGCGTCCTGTCCTCCCGCGGTGCTCGTGGGGTCGAATGTGGCCGACGTTGCACACGGGGAGAGGTGCCCTGCCCCTTTCCGTCTGCGGCGTCTAACACATTCAGCCTGCAGTCACACTAGCATCGCGGGAGCATAGCCGTAGCTAGCTCCTTTTGCGCCTGAAGAAAAAAAACGTGCCTCCCCAACAGGCGTGTGATATCACCCAGCACCCTGCCTTCAGGATTTTTTTTTTTACTATTTTTTATTTAATTTTAATTTTTTTAATTTTAATTAATTTTCCTGTTTGGGGGGGTTTCTGGGAAATATTAGGGGTCTAAACAGCCCCCCTAATATTTCCCTTTTAAAATAGAAAAAGAAGTTGAGGACACAAACTCTTTCTGCAGCCTCTGTTCTAAATGAATGGAAAGCACAGAGGCTTCCCATTCATTCAGAAACTATTTACTATCATCCAGTTTCTGAATGGAGTAGGAGCCTCTGTACAGAGTGCTTCTCCACATTGAGAAACTCATGAATGAATAGGAAGTGATGCAAATCCTGTTCATTCATAACTGGGGACACATAGTACTATGTGTCCCCAATTATTTACAAACACTGGAGTGATCAGCTGGAGTGTTTGTCCTGCACACAGAGGATTGGTACAGATCACACAGGGTCTCAGTTTCTCTCTGGATCTCCGCTGCTCTCCCGGGCACAGGCAGCGGGGATCCGAGGAAAAGTGTGGAAAGCACTTCAGCCGCGGGGGGGGGGGGGGGGGGGGGACCGACGCCAGTGTGGG